CGTCCCGGGGCGGGCGCCCGACGCCAGGTCCGCTGCCACGGCCTCCCAGCAGGCGTCGCAGCGCCCCCTCACCGTTGAGGATGACCGCGCACTCCAGCAGGGCCTCGTAGTTCTCGCTCTCGTTTATCACGGACACGGAAGCAAGGATCACAGACGTGATGGCGTGGATTACCTCTATGTTCTTTTTCTGTGAGTGAAAAAAACCAAAGTACAATGAAATGAACTTAAGAATCGATTACTTACAGCAACTTTAAAACTTACCGAATACAGTTTAAGAGAAAAAGAACAAGCCACACTTCTGCTCACTGTAACAGCAAAGCAAAGCTGAACACAGTTAACTGTGTGAAAAGAACACCAATGGTGAACATGGGACTGAAGCAGGGAGGGCTGGGGGCACCCTGGGGGTGCAGGGGCGAGTCACAGCGACATGAGGTACCGGCAGCCACCTGAGGACCCGTCCTCGGCCGGGGGTGCCCCCAGGGAGCAGCAGGCCCCTCCTGTCCCCAGCCGCCCCCTCGACACTGGGTGTCGGTGGATCCACCCGTTCTGCTCCCTGCTCTGTCTCTGGGGAGCCCCCCACGCCCACCCCTGGTGTGCAAGAAAAAAACCTTGAGGCAAGAGGAAGGGCCTGGGAAGACACTTATCGTAGCCCTCGCTGGCTGTGACTTCCAGCGTCGGGCTTTTTCTTAAAACGCGACCACACAGGACAAACGGCCACTTTCTAAGAGACAAGGGGCAGCCTCCGCCTCAAGAGCGACCCTACCGTCTCGGCGGCCTCCGCGTCGCCGTGCCCGGGGCCTTCCGCCGGCCAGCCGGCCCCCGGGCTCCCGAGCAGCAGCGCCGCCAGCCAGCCCCGCAGCCTCCGCCACAGCTCCTCCTTCTGCTTCCGCGGCAGCTCGTCCAGCAGCTCGGCGAGGTCGAAGGGGTCGGAGGCATCTCTCTGAGGCACGTGACAGGGCTGGGTGTCAGGTCAAACTCCTCACCCTTCTGGCGACCACACCCAGAGAAAAGCTCGCGTGGCGACTTCGTTTCCAGTCGAGAGCGCAGCTCTACTCTTCAAAATTCACCCCCGGGGAGTACGGCGGCCCCTGCGCTCGCTCTGGGGAGCTGCAACCCCCACTCTGCAAAGCCCCTGATACACCAACGCGTGTGGACGTCCGCCTGTCCAGCCAGCAGGAGCGTGCTGGCGCTGCTGGGCCTCCCCGGCCCCCCAGGCCGTCCCATCGGCCAGCGAGGCCCCAGCGCCCGGCACGCCTGCGCCCCGTCCGGCCTGATGCCGCAAACAGCCCCAGAGCGCCCTCAGACAGCGACAGTCCTGGACACTGAGCCCCAGAACGTCCCCGCCCGGGGGTGCAGCCAGTAACAGCAAGTCACCAGCAGCTGTGGGGCGCAGCCCACGAGCGCGGAAAGCGACCCCACGGCCCACTCACGCATGGCGGGGGGCCCCCAATGCCAGGGGGGCCGGTGGGCCAAGCCCCGAGGGACTCTGGGCAACAGGGAGGGACACTCTGGAGCAGCGTCAGGCCCGGACGGCCACAGTCATCAGGGGGCGGGAGCGGCGCGTGGGGCGGCCGTGGACGCGACGGATGCTCCTCGGCCACCCGCATCACGGCGCTGGGCTGCACCAAACTAGGGGCGTCGTCGGCAACAGGAGCCGCCCGAGGCCCAGTGGGGCG